AAATTATTCTTTATCTTTCCTGTATCTTTTCTCATCTTTTTCGTTAAGACCATCAGGTTCTAAAGTGTGGAGTTGGTGGATCCAAAAATTTTCTCTTCTCCTTCTCGCCGTGGTGTCCCACTCGGTGTTGACTTCTATGATTTGGAAAGTAACATTATCAAAACAATGTTTCGTTGAACGAAGATGTCTTGTGAGAGGACAGTTTTTGTTGGTTTTGTACCATGAACGAAGGTTATTGAGCCGAATATTAAATTTGTCCATTGTTTCTCCCACATACTGAATGCCACAAGTGTCACATGTTAATATATAAATTGAGTTATCCGTTTTACAGTTGGAATTTGAGTAGATGGTATAATTTTGTTTAGTAACGGAGCTGATGAAAGAACTGCTTGTATTGGCAGCTTTACAACACAAGCAGTTCCTTCGACCACATTGTTTGTAGCAACCGGGAGATGGAGTAGGCTGCTTTGCTAATACAGATGTCACTAATTTGTCACGGATGTTTTTATGTCTTCTGAAGGCCATGACTGGTGGTGAGGAAAATACTTTTTTAAGAGTTGAATCATTTTCTATAATTTTCCAATGCTTCTGAACAATGGAAGACACATTTTTAAAATCAGGATGGTAAGTGAGTACAAGTGGTGTTCTGTTAGCTGCTTTATTCTTATCTTTGTACTCTAGAAGTTCTTGGCGACTAGTTTTGTTTGCTCTTTCGAAAGTGCTATCAATGATGTTGTTATTGTATCCTCGAACAACTAGATGTTTACGTAGTTGTCCAAGTCTAGCATTTTGCGTATTTTTAGTAGAGCATATTCTCTTGATTCGCAATGCCTGGCTGAATGGGATGCCTGCCACGGGAGCAGTGTTTAGGATGGCAACTTTTAGGGGAAAGGAATTGATGTTTGTCCGTTTGTTTGGTATGAAGGTCCGTTATAATGGTTCCGTTCTTGATGAAACTCGTAGTGTCGAGGAAGTTTATTTTCTCCATAGATGATTCATATGTAAATTTTATTGAATGGTGGAAAGAGTTACAGTGTCCTATATATTCTGTTATGAGACTTCGTGTTTATGCATTGTGAATGAGGTACTTCACCTTGAATTTCGATTTATGTGCATTGTGTTGCATATATATTTTGCATTGTGTATTCATGTAAGGGTGTGTTAATTAATTTAAATAGGACAACTGGTTGTGGTACAATTTTTAGTTAACCACTTGAAATCCCGATTTATTCAGGTACGGATCCATTGATCGCCCGTTACACATTACAACTGTGGCATAATATATCCGGGATTATTTTCTAAAAATATAATAGTAAGTATTCATTTATTTGTTTAATTATTACCAGCATTCATCAAAAGAAAACTAGCTATCAAATGCATCGGACCCACAGGCACTTGTCTCTGAAAAAAAAAATTCAGAGACAAGTGCCTGTGATCATACCGCTAAGTTTGAGTAATATAGTCGAACTCCATCAAAAGAACCGGCGTGAACTCAGGTACTTTGGAACAGTTAGCAGTTCATGGTTTACTATACATAGTAAATAAAGCCTTTTACTTCACAATTTAGACTCTCTAGTGATATAAAACATGCCTTGACATAGAATCGCATGTAAAAATTCAAACACATTTACTATGCATTTTGGTCCTATCAATATACAGATCAATTAACAAGTACAGTATTTTCAAAGATTCGTATGAATGTTCTACATAATGAACCTGAGTAGATATGATCAGATATGTGCATTAACACATACAGTATTTTCAAAGATTCGTATGAATGTTCTACATAATGAACCCGAGTAGATATGATCAGGTATGTGCATTAACACATACAGTATTTTCAAAGTTCGTATGAATGTTCTACATAATGAACCCGAGTAGATACGATCAGATATGTGCATTAACATATACAGTATTTTCATAGATTCGTATGAATATTCTACATAATGAACCCGAGTAGATATGATCAGATATGTGCATTAACACATACAGTATTTTCAAAGATTCGTATGAATGTTCTACATAATGAACCCGAGTAGAAATGATCAGATATGTGCATTAACACATACAGTATTTTCAAAGATTCGTATGAATGTTCTACATAATGAACCCGAGTAGAAATGATCAGATATGTGCATTAACACATACAGTATTTTCAAAGATTCGTATGAATGTTCTACATAATGAACCCGAGTAGAAATGATCAGATATGTGCATTAACACATACAGTATTTTCAAAGATTCGTATGAATGTTCTACATAATGAACCCGAGTAGATATGATCAGATATGTGCATTAACACATACAGTATTTTCAAAGATTCATATGAATGTTCTACATAATGAACCCGAGTAGATATGATCAGATATGTGCATTAACATATACAGTATTTTCAAAGATTCGTATGAATGTTCTACATAATGAACCCGAGTAGATATGATCAGATATGTGCAATGTTCACGAATGACTCTGCATTATACATAGGTTATAATGAGATTAAAACAAGCAGTCATCTGCAGGGTAATGCCAGAGAAATGTTTGTTTCTAAATACTTAAGGTTAGAATGGGCCCATATTTCAGGGTCGTTTAACATTTTTTGTCAACTGGTATTTTTGAGAGTTATTCACGTAAAAGGAAATTGAAAATGTAAATTATAAGTTGATCTTATGTCAATGATAAGTGCGTTTTACCAAGGAATTGTATATTTAAATATACAATTCCTTGGTTTTACCTATCAAATATAGTAATGATTGAGTGCCTTATGCATAATGTATGAATAAATAAGTTTAACTTAATGTTTAGCGATGAAGATTAGATTCCGACAGGAACAGATACATAGTAGCATTGTTTATATATCAATTGAAAGTGTCTTCAATGTAAGAAATATTACAGTATTTGTTCCTTTCGGCATAAAGGGTATACAATATTTGTCCCAAAAGGAACAGAATTATACGAACTGACAATACTATCATGGTGAAATATTTCAATAAAAATACCAAGGTTTAAACCCCGCCACATTCTTTATGTGCCTGTCCCAAGTCAGGAACCTGAAGTTCAATGGTTGTCGTTGGTACATATCTGTCATATTTGTTTTTCGCAAATATTTTTGTTATAAATTAGGCCGCTAGTTTTCTCAATTCATTTTTTTATATTTTTCATGTCGGGGCCTTTTACACCCGAAAATACGGCAGGGGCTGATTCAGGCGGGGGCGTGGCGGGCGTGCGCCCCCCTAAAATTTGCAAAGCATGGGTTGTCCTCAGCTTAATAAAGAATATTTCGATAATTTTACCTCAAAAAACAAACTTCAGTTTGCGACCCCGTAACCTAAAATCCTGGATCCGCCCCTGTACGGTATGTTGAAGGCCGTACGGTTGCCTATAATTTCTTACATCCACTTCATTTGAACTTTATAGGAAAAGTTGTCTCATTGGCAATCATACCACATCTTCTTATATTAAAGTATATGGAAAAATTCAAAGTGGTCTTGATACATGATACAACGGTGTAGTTTTACATGTTTTTTTTTAATATTAGTTCTATTATATGTTTCGAAGTTTAGTGTGACGTCCGTTTTCACTGAACTAGTACACAGTTTTGTTTAGGGGCCAGCTGAAGCCCGCCTCCGTGTGCGGGATTTTCTCGCTGTGTTGAAGACCCATTTTTATATTAAAGCATAGGTGGCCTTGGGCTGTTTTCTGCGCTTTGGTTGGGTTGTTGTCTCTTTGACACATTCCCGATTTCCATTTTCAATTTTATTTTATATATAGAATGAACATAGTGGCAGCAGTATTAAGTCTATTGTAATCATACAGATGTAATCAATCACAAAAACCGGAAGATATCCCATGACATACTTTGGTATAATTTTTGAATGATGATTGAGTGATTGTTGTATGTTTTACGTCCAGTTGCCAATATTTCATAAATGTTCATGACAGACATTTTGTGTTGCAACAAGCCACCTACGGCCCTCTCAGAAAGTTGTTACAATGGTTCTTTAATGTGTGCAAAGGGAGTGTCATGTATCTGTACACGAGGCATCGGATTCAAACGTCCTTATTTTGACCGGACGTGGCTATGTATCTATACATCCCACACAGCCCATCAGTTGGTTCACTTAAACAAGGGTTTTACTGCCGGAAGAAGTCCAAGGGACGAAATTATTTCTATACCCAAATTTTGAAAAAAAGATCAGCAAATATAATTAGTTGACATGTTGAATATAATACAGGTTTACGAATAAGACCTGTCTAAGTTTAAATTGTGCCATATTATTTACTATAAGCCAGAATGCAACGCAGTGAAGGAAAATAACAGAATATAAAAAATAACAAACTTGCTAGGACAGTTCAACCAATTTAAGAATGTTTCGACGTTAAAAAACAAAACTAGGACAACAGCCAATGTAATTTAATTATAGATCTCTGATTTCGTTATGCTCAAAAGACGAGAATTGGGACATTGGCGATCATTTTATTTTAAGGTTAAATGAGACAATATCATTTTCGCTTTTCATTTGTCAAGAAGCATGAATTGAATTATTGATTGTTTAAATTCTTTTTTGGCATATTGAAATTAAAAAGAAAAGAAAAGAAATAATCTCACGACGCTTATCCGTAAAAGAAGATGCCAGTACATATATCTCATTGAATTACATGCAACATATTTTTTTCAATCTGTCTTGTATACTTAAATAAATTGAAGCGAATAGATAGTTAAACAAGGTTTATACACAAGGAAAGCAGAGATGCGATCATTTCATTGCAAGATTAATTATTGATTTTTTTCAAATAACAAAAAAATGTATTTTTCCACAATTTGAAATTAAATAAAAAATGATTGCAAAGTGCACAGCTATAATAAAAGATGTACGTCCTATGTCTCATTCTTCTTTGCAACCAAATCGAAAGAAAAGAAATGAAATATTCACAAACTATTAAAACAAATGTGTTATTGTAGTAAACAAAGTCCTTGTCAAGCTAATCATTGTAGTAAATAGTCATGAAGGTTGCTGTGATTGGAGCAGGAGTCAGTGGATTAACTGCTATAAAGTGTTGCATAGACGAAGGACTAGAACCAATATGCTTTGAAAGAACAGATGATATAGGTAATTGGAATTATGATTATACATTAACTTTAACACAAAGCTATTTGTTCTGAAAAACACCTAAAATATTGATAAGCCAGTAATACGTGTATTTAAAATTATATGACATTGAGTGAAATAACGTAAGTCATTGTTTTTTTTTTTTTTTAATTAGGTCTTTGTTGTAGCTTGAGGTATTTATATATTATTATATACTAAGTAGTAAATACAGATAAATTGTAGATCTATATGTAATACAATCATTGGCAAGCGTGCTGTATCAGCCACCCGTGATGATATCGATATCAGCACGGTTGCAAAGGCTTTATCACACCTTTAAGCTGTATGACGTCACTTCATCGATTGCAGTCACTGTTGCAAAGGCTTTATCAAACCCCTAATCTGTATGACGTCATGTCAAACCTGTAATCTGTATGACGTCATTTCAAACCTCCTTATCTGTATGACGTCATGTCACATAAAAAACATCTACGTGAGGTATATGTATATAATAAAGTGTATATGATATGGCTTTTTCAATATCACACACCGTATCAACCCTCAACCAATATAATCCCTCGAGCAGAGCTCTTTGGATTATATTGGTGTCTCGGGTTGATACGGATGTGATATTGAAAAAGCCATATGATATTCTCTATTTACTATATGGGCGCAGGACGTTTGCGCTTTTTACCTATAACAGTTTACCTGTAATCTAAACAAAATTTATTGAAGTAATGGAAAGACGTTCACATATTCTTCGAGAGTTCTCCCTAACAAAAATAAAAGTACAAACAAAATTTTTTTCGGGTAAACGATTCAGAAAACAAAATGTATATGAATGGAACATCAAATGTTGCCCTAAATTCTTAAAGCAGCTTTATACAATACGTAGATTTAAAAATTGTAAATATATTCTCTTGTGTCCATTTTATTGCATAGAAAGTCCCAGGAACTTAACCATCATAGTATGTATAAAATTATTTCAATTTGTGAATACCGAAATTTGATTTTGTAAACCACCTGCTGTTCATGTTGACTTCTAACAATAATCTTGGTTGATATAAGAAAATTAAATTTCATCCAGCCTCTTGAAGTGTAGTCATTTTCAGATGACACAAATATGATGGCAAACGATTAAGTCTTTTAGTGTAAATAAATATATGAATGAATTGTGTTTTTGATATTAAGTGAATTTTAAACTTTTAACCATGATAACTCAAATGGAATGTTGATATAGCGCAAATGCCCTTTAGAAAGAGCACAAACGTCCTGTTTTAAGGTGGTACCAAACACCTTGACTAAAATTAATTTGGCTCGTTTAATTTTCATGAAATTTTGACAAAATATTTATTTTGATCCTTTGAAAAAATTATAAAAATTTCAAAAAACTTGAACAACGCACTTTATCGGAAAAATTTCATAGGATATATAGCAGTTTGACAAACACTAATTTTGATCATTGAGAAGCTTAATATTTCCTTAACAATAGAACGTGATTAAAACGTTCGGCTTATTTTTACAGAGTTATCTCCCTGTAGTGTTATGTACCACCTTAAATAGCGCAAATATCCAGACTCCTAACTTAATAATGACGTCTTCATTTAGATTTTTTTTTCTTTTAAAAATATTTGTTTAACTTCAACGTAGGATTATATATTTCTATACTAATTTTGTTTTAAAATAACTTGCCTTTCGTTTTCCAAAAACAGGTGGACTATGGAGGTATTCAGATAAGGTCACAGAAGGCCAGGCATGCGTGATGAAGTCTACCATCACTAACACAAGTAAAGAAATGATGTGCTTTAGTGACTTCCCAATGCCAGCAGAATATCCAATGTATATGCACAATAGTTATGTGCAAAAGTATTTACATTTGTATGCTGAAAAATTCAGTCTTCGGGAATATATACAATTTGAAACAGAGGTTAGATATTTTAAAAAGATAAAAATTGGATTTCACTGTAGTTTTTTCCTATAATTTATTATGTATGTTTATTAGCATGATTCGTGGATTTATATCTTCATAGGATACATTAGTTTCATTGTTATTTAGACTCTCAACAAATAGCACCCACTTAATTGTTGGTACTGGTACAATCTGATAAAAATATAGATCCTATTTACAGGCTTCGCTAACGAAACATGGACACAGTACTGGCCTGTAGCCTCTTCGATATACCTTTTTAATTTTTGATTGAGTTATTATTTAGGCTTTAATTTATAGTGTATTGATTAGTTTTGTCAATGTTTATTATTCAGTTTATTTTCATTTGGTCATGGCATTGTGTTTCTCTCCTTATGTTTTCTCGATATTATAAAAAAGAAAAAAAAAACAAAAAAACAAAAGCAAGTATTTATCCTGTTTACTTTTTATACATAATCTTAAGTTTCCTAGAAAAAAAAATGGTAAAACTTGACTATTTTTGTTCAGATATTGAGAGTTATGAAAAAGGACGATTTTGAACAGACTGGTCAGTGGGTTATCCAACTGAAAGACAAGAAAACTGATAAAGTGAAGGAAAACATATTTGATGCTGTTCTTGTTTGCACTGGTCGTAATAGTGAAAAGTATGTTCCTAATTTCCCAGGTTTATCAAACTTCAAAGGAGAAGTTGTTCACAGCCACGACTACAGAAAGCCAACTGGGTATGAAGGGAAAAGAGTACTTGTCATTGGAATAGGAAATACAGGATCGGAAATAGCTGTAGAACTTAGCGCAATTGCTTCACAGGTAACTTGTGTTCATTATACATAAGTTGTATTATTACACACATTACAAAACGAATTACAACTTAAAATAAAATGGTTCGCTGAACGCAGCCTGATACGACCGCAGAGGTCGAACTCTGAATCTTTGGGGCAAGTTTGGAAACAGTATTCAAGCTTGATACTGTCTGAATTTGGATTGTGATCAAATGTTTGACATAATATAGGTTTCTGACACAAACTAAATTGGTCAAAGATCTTAAAAATTTGAAATGGGTATTTCATTTACCTAGAATGGTCTGATATCCAAAATCTAACAACATGGTTAGATTCAGCATATAAAAATACACCAAAAATTTAATTTTAGTTGAAATCAACCAAGTTTAATTTTGGACCCTTCAAACCTTGATATGGACTAATTTGAAAACAGGGCCAAAAATGAAAAATTGGAATGCACAATAAGATTCAGCATATCATACAGCCACAATAATTAAGTTTTTGATGAAATCAAACAAAGTTTTATTTTGGACCCTTTTGACCCCAATGTAGACCAATTTCAAAAATGGGGCCCAATATCCAAAAAAGTAATACAACTTATACAACTAACTTAGAACCCCCAAAAATTAAAGACTTTAAATTAATCCCATTGAAATTGGTTAGAAGATTTGTATTTATTTTCAATTGAAGATTTCTTGCTATTGTGCAATACTGTGCTATTGCACAATACTGTGCAACTGCTGATTTCTTGCTATTGTGCATGACTATGAAATGGAAGATTTCTTGCTACTGCGCAATACTGTGTTGTGCAATACTGTGCTATTGCGCTATACTGTGCAATTGAAGATTTCTTGCTATTGCACAATACTGTTCAAATGAAGATTTCTTGCTATAGCGCAATACTGTGCAATTGAAGATTTCTTGCTATTGTGCAATACTGTGTTGTTGCGCAATACTGTGATATTGTGCAATACTGTGCAATTGAAGATTTCTTGGTATTGCGCAATACTGTGTAATTGAAGATTTCTTGCTTTTGCCCAATACTGTGCTATTGTACAATACTGTGCTATTGTGCATTGTGCAGTACTGTGCAATTGAAGATTTCTTGCTATTGCGCACTACTCTCCTTTTTTAACACTGTGCTTTTGCGCAATATTGTGCTATTGCGCAATACTGTGCAATTGAAGATTTTTTGCTATTGCGCAATACTGTGCTATTGTACAATACTGTGCAATTGAAGATTACAAAAATTTTGAAGAAAAAATATGAATCCCCCCAAAAAATTGGAAAAAAAATCCCCCCATAATTTTTTTAACCCCCCTTAGAGTACTTACCCCCAAACTCAATCTCAGTTTTCCTTTTGTGGTATGGAACCGTGAAGTACAATTTTAGAGAGATCCATACACTTAAACACAAGTTATTATCTGGAAACTAGAAAAAATGCTTGTTTCTGGCCCCTTCTTTGCCCCATATTCCTGAACTGTTGATACCATAACCCCCAAATTCAATCCCAGACTTCCCATTATGATATAAAACCTTGTGGTACAATTTCAGAGAGATCCATACACTTACACACAAGTTATTGTCTGGAAACTACAAAAATGCTTGTTTTAGGCCCCTTTTGACCCCTAATTTCTAAATTGTTGTTACCATAACCCCCAAAATCAATCCCAACCTTCCGTTTGTGGTATTGAACCTTCTGGCAAAATTTCATAGAGATCCATTCACTTAAACTAAAGTTATTGTCCGGAAACCAAATGTGTCTTCGGACGACGACAACAACATCATAGCATTATACGATGCAAAACTTTTTTTGCGGTCGTATAAAAATTACCAAATCATTTAATATACGATTAATAGATTTCAATTGTCAGCTCATTACAGTTTCATAATTTAAGCTTTACCCTTGTGCGTAGGAACTATTTTGTTTTAAATATGTAGTTACTTTCCAGTATGTTCTTTTTGACCGGGCCCGATTAGGTGGTGCTACATCTTACAAAGTCTATCCAAATTATTTTTTGCAAAGAAATCCGCTAAAGCCGGTGCTAGGGGCCGTCTTAAACTTGCAGTGAGGTGAGAGTTTTTTTTTGCTCCGTGTTGAAGGCCTCGCTGTGACTTTTTGAGATGAAGAACAGCAATAAAATCGCTGTTCCTTTGCTTTTTGTGTTTTTTTGCTGTGCATGTACTGATTTTGTGTCATGAATGGATACCTCATATCCTTTGTTTTTCTATCATAGCAATATTTACAAAACTCGCGTAACTTAATATAAATAAAATTGAATACGTGAACCAATTATATATTGCATTTTCCTGGCTATGACTTATTGAAGTGAAAATTTATAGAACATTTAAAATCCAAACAATTTTTACTTTGAAGGTTTTTCTAAGTACCGGCCGTGGAACTTGGGTATTTTCCAGAATAACAGACTATGGTATGCCTATCGATATGACATCTCTCAAAAGGATTATGATGAAACTGAAAAAAATATTACCACAGTCGCTAATTGAAAACTTGGTAGAGAAAAAAGCAAATGCAAGGTTTGATCATACAACTTATTGTCTTCGACCAAAGCACCGTGTCTTTGCTCATAGTCCAACTATAAATGATGAAATACCAAACCGATTGGCATTGGGGACATTGAGGGTAAAAACGGGGGTCAGAACGTTTACTGAAAATGGTTTAATCTTTGACGATAACACAGTGGAAGAAAACATCGATGTTGTTGTCTTGGCAACAGGGTATACATTCAAATTTCCTTTTTTGGACAAATCTGTGACTGAGGTCAGAGAAAATCATGTAGATGAACTGTACAAGTACATTTTCCCACCAAAACTGGAGAAGTCAACTTTGGGTATAATCGGATGCGCACATGTATTTGGACCAAGTATGCCAGTACTTGAGATGCAGTGTAGACTGTCCACGCTTGTTTTTCAGGTAAATGAATAAATTTTGCGATACTTTAATTAATAAACATTAATAAATAAAAGTACTAAAATGCTTCTTAAGTGTACAGAAATAAATAATACTTTACTGAAAAGTAAATCTTCCGTGCTGTCATGATATGATGTTAGATATTAAATCGAAACAAGAGGTACTGAAAGAAAAATTCCTTAATATAAAATATTATCTGATAACACACCATCATATGATTTGTGTGAGAAGTATCATATCTCAGCAGCATAGGTAATACGTAATTGTAACTGTGTTAATGAGTACAAACATCCTTAAGGGAGCTACCATTTGATTTTTATGGGGGGGGGGGGGGGAGGGGGGGGGGAGGGCTAGGATGAAAAATTTTGTCATGCATTTTTTTTAGCTGTAATCTCTGTCCTGCCTTTTTATTTTTCACTCTATTCGGTCCTTCCTTTTTTTTCGTTTATCCTGACTTTTTTTTTACCTAAATTGTCGTCCAGACTTTTTTTTTGCAAGTGTCTCATCCTGCCTTTTTTTTAACTCAAAACTCCTGTCCTGCCTATTTTTTTCAAATTTCATCTTAGCCCCCATAAAAATCAAATGGTAGCTCCCTAAGATAAAACAAACAAACAACAACAACAACATACCAAAAAAACTAAACAATCACCAAAAAAGAGTTTTTTTTTTTACTAATGAACATGAAGCCATTGATGTCTGTTCCATTTTGTTTTTAATATAAAGATAAGGAGATGTGTAATGATTGTCAATGAGACAACTATCCACTAAAGTTCATTGGAGTCCTATTGAAGTTACCTTGTATGCATAAATATTTCTTTAATAATTTCACAGGGAAAAGTAAATCTTCCGTGCTGTCATGATATGATGTTAGATATTAAATCGAAACAAGAGGTACTGAAAGAAAAATATGTAAAATTACATAAACACACAGTAACTGTCGAATATATAGAGTATATGGATGAACTTGCTACATTAAATGGATGTCGACCTGATTTTGGTATGTTTGCCTCTAAGTTACGTTTATAATTGTATGGTCAATCTCAAGAGTTTTTTGGTGTTTTTACCCTTTAACCCTTTGTTATACCGATTTTAAAGACGTATAAGGAAGAACTCTTGTATGACTTAAGTACAATCTTTTAATGTTGCACACGTTATTTTCAACATTGTGGTCTACAGTGTAGTATTTTAGATTTGGAAGTAACGTTTCTTAGTTTGTAACTTCTTAAAACAAAATTTTAAAATCTCAGTAGATCGTAAACACATTGCAGAAATATTCAAACTACTTCTGAGTGAAATGATAAATACGTGTCACGCTCTGATGTTGATGACGTTGTATTGACTTTCTAAACGTCCAGTTGTAAATATTACATTGATAACTATTTTGCATATCAGGACATGAATATGTTCATGCAATATGAATTTTCTTTTTGCTAAACTGATACACTGAGCTGGATTTTTAACGTGCTAGTTAAACTTTAGGTGACAGCCCTATATCCTAAGTCAGGAGCCTGTTGTTCAGAGGTTGTCGTTTGTTGGTGTGGTTCATAAGTGTTTCTCGTTTCTCGTTTTTTATATAGATTAGACCGTTGGTTTTCCTGTTTGAATTGTTTACACTAGTCTTTTTGGGGCCCTTTATACCTTGCTGTTCGGTGTGAGCCAAGGTCCCGTGTTGAAGACCGTACTTTGACCTATTATTGTTTACTTTTTACACATTGTGACTTGGATGGATAGTTGTCTCATTGGCACTCATACCACATCTTCTTATTTATATCTACGGAAGACATGTTATCCCACCTGGACACATTTTTCCGACTCCTAACTGATCAGTCTTTGATCCCGAGTGGTTAGTGTAGAAGTGGCAAAATGAAAAAACAATTTTCAAGTCTTGAGTAAGTTGAGTTTGACCTGGCCGATGATCGAACCCACGACCATGTCGCTTCTGGTATACTTACAGTTCCTTTATGTAAAAATTTTAAAAGTTAAAATTGCACTTTATAAAATATGAAAATGTATTAAAACTCAGGTTGTACATTGTACATTCTCGTGCATAGTTATGGCTGTTCTGTATATTTTTTGTGCTTTGAACCGTTCTATGTAATCTGATACTAAACTTTTGGACTCCTGCGTACTTAAAAGTTATTCCAGAACTCGTGCCATGCACTCTGATATAGGTATCATGCGTTATTATTTCGAAGGATTATCGTTGAAGATTTTGCAGTAGCTATCAAGAAGAATAACGGCAGTTAAAATGCTGTTCTGTTGACATATGGTTAAAATGCTGTTCTGTTGACATATGGTTAAAATGCTGTTCTGTTGACTTAAAATGCTGTTCTGTTGACTTAAAATGCTGTTCTGTTGACATATGGTTAAAATGCTGTTCTGTTGACTTAAAATGCTGTTCTGTTGACTTATAATGCTGTTCTGTTGACATATGGTTAAAATGCTGTTCTGTTGACATATGACGTCACATATGGTTAAGATTCAATACTTCTTTTGAATTTTGGTCATCTATAATATGCATTTTAGCCTATCCCTGTTTTATCAAAGACATAAATGTAAGTATTACAGTTACGTTATCGAAGCATGGAGGTATGTATATACATGTCATACATAAGTCCTTCATTGTGATAAGAACAAGGCCTACCACTATAGGATAGAATAGAATAGAATATACTTTATTCCAAATTAAAGGGCCCACAAGGGGCAACATGAGATTATAACATTACACATATTAAACAAATACAAAAGAACAATACTGAGGTAGAGAATTACTATAAGTAATAATCATTAACATTCATTGATTTAACAGGGTCATTATTTTGGTCAGACCCGAAACTGGCCTTAAACTGCTATTTTGGGCCTTGTACACCATACCAATACAGACTACACGGACCTGGGAAATGGGATGGTGCAAGAAAGGCGATATTGACGCAGTGGGAAAGAACATTAGGACCCCTTAAAACAAGACCATTAGGATTTATAGAACAACCTTCACAGAAGAACATCTTACTATTCTCTTTTGTTTTTGTTGTAACTATTTGTTATTTACTACAAGCTTTATTTTTCTAAGTTTTTTTTTTTTACAAGAGCAACGTTTGATTTTCTTCGAGAATTTACAAATGATGTCTAATGACGCTTTCTGAAGCTGCGAAACAGATTGATGAAATAGATTTTTTTAAATATACCATAGTTTCAGCTTTGTTCATAATCTTTTAATTGAGAAGAAGAGAAATTACTAATTTGACCACCGAAGTGTCTAAAACAACTCGTTGTTGGATATTTATTTTTGTAACCAGAAGGAAGATTTATTTTGACTTTATTTGATTTTTATATTTAGGGGCCTCGGCGGCCGAGTGATATCAGATGAATTTTGTTTCTAATAAAGATTGTAAAGCCTGATCAGGGTTCATTTTTGTGTGAGAATAAGTGGGTGAATGTGTTAGATTCTGTGTATTTTAATATTTCGCATAATACAATTAGAATCGCATTCAATAGACGAAATAAATCTTATGAACAGTTTCGGTCAACATTCTAATGGTCAGTATCGTGTAATTGCATGGTTGAATGGATTTCCACCCTATACGAACACTTCGATTTCACTGTTACTGATTGACTTAATTGCCGAACTGTTTTTGATTTTTTTAATATAACCAATCTTTTCTTTTTATGTTCTGTGTCAGTTTCAAATGAATATTGGTAGAATGTGGTGAATGGTATAGTTGTGTAAATGAGGTTGCCTGATATTATAAGGACTATATGTTTCCATATTGAAGATAATAATATGTGCAATAAATTTTATTCAAGATAAAAAAAAAGAGTAGTCCCAACTACTGTATCACCAGCCTGTCAAACACTTAGTTTGTGAGTTCGAACCCCGCACGCGGTAGGTGCATTCGAACCCAATCTTAAATGACTAGGATTGTCAATTTTCCTGCCGAAACTCCGTGTTTCTCTCAGGGCACTCCGGTTTCCTCCACCAACAAAAACTGAGCGCAATAGAATTACAAATAGTGCTGAAAGCGGCGTAAAACACCAATTAATCAATCACTCACTGATGAGGATCAAGACAACATTATCAGATTAGTAACCAATCTTTATCATTGAAAATGTTCTAAATGATAAAGCACATTAAAAATAAAAGGTTAGTCCCAAGGGGTTACCCCACCCCCTGCCATTAGAGAAAGTTTTAATATCTTGGAAGTGGTGAATATCCCCACCCCTAAACCATATATATTTTGGTTTGTCATGATAAAGCACATCAAATAAAATACAGGGTTAGTCCCCAGGGGTCACCCCCATCCCCTGCCAATTGAGAAAGTTCTAATATCTTGTAAGTGGCCAGGATCCCCACCCCTAAACCATATATATGCTGATTTGTCATGCCATGATTATTTAAATGATAAACATGGTAAGACCCAAGGGGTCATCCCCACCCCCAGTCATTTGAATATGTTCAAATATCTTGTTAATGGTCGAGATCCCCACCCCTAAACCATATATATTCCTGTTTGTCATGTCATGAAGATTTGAATGATATATAGGAAAGGTCTCCAGGGGTTTCCCCCACCCCCAATGTTATAATATCTTGTAAATGGTTGAGATCCTCACCCCTAAACCATATATATTCTTGTTCGTCATGTTCCAAAGATTTGAATAATATATAGGGTCAGTCCCCAGGGGTTCTCCCCATTCCAAATGTTCTAATATCTTGTAAATGGTCGAGATCCCCACCCCTAAACCATATATTTTCCTGATCGTCATCTCACAAAGATTTGAATGATATATAGGGTCAGTTCCCAGGGGTTCCCCAACCCCAATGTTCTAATATCTTGTAAATGGCCGAGATCCCCACCCCTAAACCATATATATTCCTGTTCGTCATTTCACTAGATTTAAATGACATGCAGGGTCAGTCCCTAGGCGTCACTGATGCATATCACTTTACTGGACCAAACCAATTTGTACTGGACTTTGCCTAATGTCAGGCGACCATAGGAATGACGAATTATGGGAGCTTCGTTTGGGAGACTTCGTAACAGCATCCTGTTTCAATCATTTCTTGTCATTTCAGAAATTTAGAGCTTGACAAATGATAATATAGCACAGGCGCTTGTATATTGATGAAGGTGACGTGTTAATAGCACATTAAAAAGATAATGGGGATCACCATAAATACTGCACATTACAACAAACCTCATCAACCATCGACACCGGACTTCTCTGAAAAAATTAGATGTATAAACAATAACGAACAACACATAGTCCAGATCGTCTGATTTGGTACAAGCACAAATGTGGTGGGGTTAAATATGTGTTACGGGTTCACATACCTCCCTAAACCATATGTTGCCACACCAAAACATACAATAAAATTCTCCACAGTGGCTAGCTGACATTTTTGTTGAATACTTTTTTTTTTCTTTTTTTTTTGTCCTCATCGCCTTATGTCTTTATATAACTCGTGTTCGTCGAATGTTTGAAAATAACAGAGATCTACATCTGTGATTTACAGTAATACCACCGCAACCGAAAACTACAAAAAAACAATATGTACTAAAACTTGTAGAGTTGATTTTTGGGCATTTTTTTACATGACAAATGAGGGTCTGTATGGTGGGGTCCCCATTTCAGTTATCTTAAAATACTGAGTCTATTTTTCTATTTTTTTTAATTTTTTTTTTTCATTACTTAGTATTCTCTATTCTTTATATTTTAGCACCGTTTTTTCTCTATTCTTCATTTTTATTTGTCTTTTTTACCAATTATTCTTTTTCTTTTTTTTTGGGGGGGAGGGGGGATCCATTATTCTTTATATTGTAAACTCCAACCAGAACCGTAGAAGTAGTAATCGATTGATTACTAGTATGGGAAATAGTAACATATTGCTATTTTTCGCATAGCATACATAAAAGTGAAATCGTTAGTCAACGAAGAAATATCAAAGATGTTTCTAATTTAGAAACTTTAGAATTTGATATGGTATTTTCATGTTACTCATGAATAAAAGGAGATGTCAAATATCCGACTTCATCAGTGCATTCTATACTAGTAGTTACTGTCCGTGTTATGACTTATTCTACCCATTTTTGCGTGTTGATGAAAACTAAAATAGAGAGACACTGTACATGGCAAAATGATCAGCTAAGATATATCAACTAACAAAAGTAATCAAAGTACTGAAGTACTGAACATCGGATGACCACAAGTTCTTGAGGATGGTCAAAAGCACTTGTCTCAGAAAAAAAACAACATATCTCTTTGCCTGAAACTGAGGTTAATGTACAGAGATATATTTTTTTCTAGACAAGTGCGTGCGAGTATGATGAATAAATGACAGGAAATTCAACTTCACCGTAATAACTATTATATTGTAGTGATACAAATCAGTATACACTGATTTGTTGTTATATATTATATTAAAATAACAGTTACATATATATATGATTTGCATCCGTTTGTATATCATTCTATTCTACTGTTCTAATAATAGTGCAATGCAAGTGCATGGTGGACACTTTTCTGTAAAAATTCGATTTTTCTAAGATTGGATACGAGTAGGCATTCATATTTTCCCGCAAAACCAATTACAGAGTTACCGGTCCTGTCGCAAAACGTTCTTTGAGATATTCTTCCGCATGCTTTAACACAATTTTTCGGTACGTGTGCATTGATATTATCAATGATTTTTTACTTATATATATATCTAACTACAAAACATTTTCACATTATTAATTTATGTTGTAAACAAAAATATTTTTATCAGTATTCATTGAAGAGATGTATTTATATCAAATGACAAGGAATGTTATTTTGCACTCGTTTATGTGCGCATATTTATCATGTTTATAGATCGGTTACAAACCCAAACTAATTTACATAATGGAAATCTAGGCGATAGCAATACATCGGAGTGACCTCAAGGTCATCGCGATGTAAAAATGACAAAAATCTTCACTGTCATCTTTTTTATTTCGTTTAAAGTGTTTAAGTTTAAATCCGTCAGTTTATCTCTTTTTAATTGTTTCATATTTTGTCATGCTTGGGCCTTTCATAATTTACTACATACGGTATATATTTTGCTCATTCTTGAAGACCGTACGATGACATGTGGTCGTTTACATGAATGTCCTTTGGTCTCTGGTCTCTGGTGGATATAATTGTCTAATGGACAATCAAACCACATCATTGTACCTTATTGTTATATAGATGGAGAGAAACTGTTTAATGACCGTTTATCAGCTATCAAAAATGAGCAGCACGACAAGATCATTCTATATATTATAAGGTTAACATGGCCGAAATTGTCGACTCCTTATAGAAGTTATTGACATATTCACTGGTGATTTCGACCAATTTTATTTTTTTTTCTCTGCTTATATCTTGAAAACAATAATAGATTGACTAAAAATTCGAACAATAAGAGTGATCAGCCACAAAAGATAATTCAAATTGTCAAGTCACCCCTTAATCAAATTTTAACAAATTTTTTCAATTTTGTCTATAAGGGAGCTACCATTTGATTTTTATGGGGGGGGGGGGGGCTAGGCAGGACAGGAGTTTTGAGTAAAAAAAAGGCAGGATGAGCAACTTGGCAAAAAAAAAAAGGCAGGATGACAATTTATGTTAAAAAAGTCAGGATAAATTAATAAAAAAAGGCAGGACCAAATACAGTGAAAAATAAAAAGGCAGGACAGAGATTACAACTAAAAAAATGCAGGACAATTTTTTTCATCCAGGCCTCCCCCCTCCCTAACCTATTAAACTTTGATAGATTAACAGAAACTCTTCAGCAAAGAAGATCAACAAGACATGAATTTGGCCCACACAAATGACATTCAATACAGATATTCTTAATGAATTGTATCAGTTTATAATAATAGACTACACAAGCATAAGTACAAACAAAACAATAAACTACTTATCATGAAATGCTCATAGTTACTGATAGCGAGCTCTAAACATTTAACCTGCTGTTATGAAATCATGTCGTCATACTATTAGTTACATAGTGTGCTAGTGACGTAATGCGATATTAATGGGGTCAGTAAATTCCATATGGGGTGAGAGCGAAGGTCACTAGCACACTGTGTAACGAATTTATCTTACAGACTATTAACCCAAATAATTCAGTCGTTATATTCCACTGCTCTACGATGGCTACATCGCGAGTGGGAGAGTCGATCATGGGGAGGGACTGAATTATTCGGGTTAAACGACTATCTTAACATGTTGTATTTAGACAAGTGGCCTATCAAAGTGATTAAGTCTTCAATACTTAGTATCAAGAACCTACTTTCATTTGTCTATACAAAAACAAATGCCAACAATAACAAATTGTTAGCTTTTATTATAAATTAGATGTGTTTTATGAAATTATTTCAATCGTTCATCATCAATTTCTTCGTCTGTTGAAACCTTTCAGATTTTTCTTAACACCGTGTAAGGCGTGTTGTTTTTATAAAGGGGCGTACGTAACACCACCACTAACCGTGTATTATAATGGTTTACTTTTATAAATTTTGACTTGGATGGAGAGTTATCTCATTGGCACTCATACCACATCTTCTTATATCTATTGAAATAAGACCCGCCTACTAACCCCACATGACATATACACGGTCTCCACGCGGTTGCTTTTAACCAATCAGATTCCTAGAAATGTATAGGAGTTAAGATAAATCATTCTAATAATTCTAATAATGGTGATTAATTTTCTTTCAACAAAATCAGGACAACATTCAGAAAGGCAATGACAAGAACAGACCTGTACAGAATTACAGTGCACAAAAAGAAGCAAAAAAATGCTAAAAAAAGACTAGCACATTAACATGATTAAGAAATAGAAATTTGCAAAATTTGTAATTTAAAAAAAAAGAATTTCGGAAGATACCAAAGGGATATTTAAATTCAGGAATCTTAAAACAAATTGACAACGCAATGGCAAAAAAAAAAAGAGAAAAAAAAACGACACAAGTACAAACAAAAGTCTATAAAACAGTACAACATAAAAAACTAAAGACTGAGCAACACGAAACCCATCAAAACCCGGAGTGACCCCAGTTGACCGGAGATTTAATAAGATCCCGTGGCACCCGTCTATAGTCCTCAAGCTGTGGGTTCATACAATACAGTCTTAATAAATACAGACAGAAAAGATCTTGTGCACTGCCCCCTTTTCAGTACAGAAAAAGAAACAAAATATTTTAGTCTTTAAGAAAACAGGGCAGCGGTACCTACGGGGAAAGATAGTCGTTGTAACCATCCAGTTGTAATAAGAAACAAATGATATTATTTTTCGGGAACTGGAGAAGCGTATGTATGTCATGTCAGTACCGAGGCACTGCCGGCCGTCTTGGCAGAACTATAAATTAGCAAATGATGTACTTGCATGGGACAGGCACATTAAGGTAGTAGTGGTAGGGTAAAGCTAAGTAAGGGACTGGCAAGTTCACACCAATCTGAGTGTTGAGAAAAAGAAAAAAGAAAGGTAGGGTAAAGCTTATCTCTTCCTCTGTCATTTATAAATGATCAAGTTTATTCAAAGGATCAATAAGTTTAGATGAACCGTATCTGAATTCACGACTTCTGTATTTAAACAACATCATTGTAAAAATTAGGATGTAATATCATCAGTCCCGTTTGTTATAATTTTGATAAAGTTTACAAGCAAAATATATAGTATAGAAATATATATATATATATGTGTACGTCTGAACCAGTGACGACTATATATATATATATGTCTCTGATATTGACAAGTCCCATAAAGAAGGTCCAATGACATATCATTGGTTGCCGAGGAATCCCATTGAAATTGGTAGTGTTGCTTTCAGATTTATATATAGTGTCCTGTTTGTACTAAGCCCCGTATAGATTTAAAGTCAAGCACAGGAGATGTAAAGTCTAGCGCTGTAGATCTAAAGTCAAGTGCTATAGATGTACAGTCCATAATTATATTTTCTAAAACCCGTTATTTTTTTTTCTTTCTTGTTTTTTGTTTCTGTTTTTTTAGTCTAGCGCAGTAGATCTAAAGTCAAGCACTCGGAAGATGTAAAGTCCAGCACTGGGGATGCAAAGTCCACCGCTGGAGATGTAAAGTTCAGCACTAGATATAAACGATCTAGCACTGTAAGATATGAATTTCCTTTAGATCTCCTGCGCTGGATTTTAAATCTCGTGAACCCGTGATATACAGTGTATCTTCTTTTTTTTAATAAAATTTTTTAGTATAAATATTCTTTTAACTTATTTTCACTTCTTTTAATGTGTTTTTGCTCTAGCTTATCCAGAACACTATCTTATCGTGTATAAGAGAAGCAAAAGATATCAAAGGGACATTTAAACTCGTTAGTCGAAAAGAATAACATCACCATGCATGGCAAAAAACGAAACCGATCAAATGATCAAGACAAACAACAGTACAGTGGCGGATCTAGAATTTTTCATAAGTGGGGGCCCTGTGACTGACTGCCTAAGAGGGGGCCCGCTCCAGTCATGCTTCAGTGATTCCCTATATAATCAACTAAATTTTTCCCAAAAAAGGGGGGCCCGGGCCCCTTGAAAAACCCTCTAAATCCGCCTCTGCAGTACATAAAAAAAGTACAACATAGAAAACCAGACAGAATAACACGAAACCCACCAAAAACCGGGGATGATCTCCACATGACGCTAAAGTAGAAGAAGAGTATTCACTTGCATTTACGGGTATGCATGCTGACTATGCAGGACTTCACACGGATGCGGATCCAGCCGATTCTGACTGAAAAGGTGGGGAACGCGGGCCCCCCGGGGCAAACTAACAAAATTTGGGGTGGTATAGGTAAAGTCTGAATTAACCATAAATGTAGCTCCATAAACAGATAAGGAAGAGGCCCGGGCACCCCGCCGCCCCCTAAATCTGCCTCGGTTTATGTATATTTTTAGCAATGTTTAGCAAAAAGTACATGCAGGACATTGAATCCGGATTTATTAGAAAGCAGAGGTCCGATGTTGATTAAGAATTAAATTTTCGACATAAATAATAACACTTGCTTATCGGTGGTTTATCAATGTAATAATAATTTATCAATATCAGTTCAAAAGTTGGAACAGGTGAAATACAAAACGTAAACAGATTAGCTAAATTAGATTACATTGGAGGTAAGTGAATACGTATTATAACAATATATAAGTGATAGTTATTATTGTCTTAACAACTCATTATATTTCACCATGCCCCTCTAGGCTCCACTAAACGTCCTTGATTTCATCAAAATCATAAAATGTTTATAATTTTTGTGTTGCGTATGTCTGACAGTATTTCTATCTGTTATTACATGTTATTTTAATAAAAACTTTTGATTTTGATTTGATTAGTAGTTGAATTGGATAAAAGCCCCTCGTTTATACAAACCAGAAACAAATATCTCTACAAGTTCCAATACAACAGGTAAGTACCGTTCACTCGTATTTATACAAACCAGAAACAAATATCTCTACAAGTTCCAATACAACAGGTTAGTACCGCTCACCCTCGTTTATACAAACCAGAAACAAAATTAATATCTGTTCAAGTTCCAATACAACAGGTTCGTACCCCTCACCCTCATGGTTTATGATTTATATGCAATGCCAGCCTTGATATTTGGACAGCCTATTATTTCGACATCTCAATAAATTAGACACCCCATTGGACAGACATCCCATTAGTCATAATATTCCATTTGTCTTGACACTCAAAAACTTATACAATCGTTAATACATGTATCTTGTTATATACAAGTATACTTCATCACTACATGTATCTTGTTATATAAATACCTATCCTGACAACGGCCTGGTTAGAGATGGTGGAGAGAACCAGTAAGAATAAGAAATTTATAATGTGGACAGGTCAAGGTTAATTTGTGAATTTCAGAAGTCAAATAACAGGAAAACTCTTATTATATCTTAAAACACATGTAATACTTTTAACCATTTTGTTGTTGTTATTTGCAAACTAATAAATGTCTCAGTCTGTCTGAATTGAATAATCTTGATTCTTTTGTCCCATATCAAATTTTAATTTTCATATACAGAATACACTTATGTACAATAAAATTCAACCCTCCATGTATTCAGCAGACATTCAGTTATATGCCAAAAAACCTCTTAATATAGTCATTTGTGCCTGCAAATAAAGTGTTTGTTATAGAAAATAGCCATCATGAAGGTTGCAGTAATTGGAGCAGGAGCCAGTGGATTAACTGCTATAAAGTGTTGTATAGACGAAGGACTAGAACCAGTATGCTTTGAAAGAACTAATGATATAGGTAATTGTTATACATCAACTCTGACAGAAAACTATAAAAAATGAATAAATGGTTTATAAATATATACCAGAATCTAAAATAATCTATAAGCCAGTAGTATATACATGTTAACTTCTAACAGTACTTATGATAAATGGACATCATGACACATTTTTGTAAATAAAACTTTTTTAAGAGAATACATGAATTTATAAAATAAACTGATTTTTGTCTCGCCTTGACAGAGTCAAAAAGCGAGACATAGGTATGCTGTTTCCGGCGTCGGCGTCAACAATGTATTAGTTTGTGATTAGGTCTAGTTTATGGTGAACCACAAGTGGTAGATCAATCATATTTGGTATGCAGTTGTATAAGCATTGGCACATCTCATTTTCATGGAGGTTATTTGGCCCTGCCCCCTCAGTCATGGTCTATCGACTTTGAAACTTTTGCTTATTTTACATGTATTAGTTTGTGATTCATTTTTGTGATTAGGTCAGTTTATGGGAAACCACTAGTGGTAGGTCAATGATATTTGGTATGCAGTTGTATAAGCATTGGCATATCTCATTTCTATGGAGATTATTGGCTCCGCCTTCTTAGTCATGGTCTATTGACTTTGAAAATTTTGCTAAGTTAACATGTATTAGTTTGTAATTAGGTCAGTTCAAGGGAACCATTAGTGGTAGGCCAATGTTGATTGGTATTCAGTTGTATAAGCATTAGTACATCTCATTTCCATGGAGAGTATTTGGCCCCACCCCCTCAGTCATGCTCTACCAACTTTGAAACTTTTGCTTAGTTTACATGTATTAGTTTGTGATTAGATCAGTTCAAGATGAACTGCTAATGTTAAGTCATTGATATTTGGTATGCAAATTTATTGGCATTTGCAAATAACGTTTCCATGGAGATTATATATATATAGCCCCATCCCCTCTTCATGGTTCATTGACTTTGAAACTTTTACATAGTTTACAAGTTAATGTTTGTGTTTAGGTTTGTTTAAAGGGAACGACTTATATAATTAGTCAATGGTATTTGGTATGCAGTTGTATTAGCATTGCCACATCTCATTTACATGGAGATTGTTTAGCCATGTACCTCAGTCATGGTTCATTGACTTTGAATATTTGCATAACTTATGTAAGATGTTAAAGTATTGCTATTTTAATTTCAACATTTGCATAATCAAAATTACAAAAAGGCGAGACATATCTCTGTGATAACAGTTTATTTTTATGAAAATCGTTTTTGCCCAATGATCAATGTAAGAAGTGACACTGAAAGGGTAGACTAAAGGCTATTATTTATGATTAACCCTAGCCAAATACATGTAAAATGAATCTGGTACTGTTAACCAGTCATAAGAAGCACTGCAGATTAAGGGCCTGAGGGGTATGTGGCCAAAATAAAAGGGACATTTTTTTTGTATAATTTCAAATGACATATTTTCACACTCACTATGGCCCGAGAACACAGTTATTTCGTAGTGCATTTCTTTTAGACAGTAAATTCAAATTAAAAAAATCGCACCTGCTCTATCTCAAAAAGATTTTTACAGTGTAGTGTACTACTATTGATACAAATAGTATCAAAATTATAGAAACTTCTACCAGCTCTAACTCAAAATATTGACAATTCTGTGTTAAGGGGGGCTAAAATTCAGTTTGACAGCTTCAGACATTCTAATTTTTGACCTTTTTTAACTGGACCAAATCACTACTTAACATAAAGATTCAGCACCCAAATTTTTTTAACATGTAATTTCATCCCCTTACTTAATATTTCATGCATAAAATATCAAGAAATAAATTGGGAAAGTGTATCAAAAAAAAATGCAAGTTATACACTGTTCACACTAGGGACTATATTTGTAGACAACGAAAACCAAAGGACGATAACTGTGTCCTTGGACCTAATAGGATAGAAAGACTTGACCAATTTTAATAAAACTTTGCATGACCTAAGCTTAGGCAATTATAAGATAGTTGGCCAAGTTTCATGGCCATAGGATATATATTATAGAAACTAGGGCCATTTTAATATTGAAATTTGGATGTTTATTTTTGACGTTTAAATCAAATATTTTCAACTGTCAAGATTTTGGCCTAAAAAATTTAAATATTGCAAAAATTTGCTTTTTAAATACTCTTGAATTTAATATAATAAGTATTTAAAGCAACGGAACACTCATTTGATTTATCAGATTTATTTCAGTTATTCAAAAGTCAAATTTATATGAGCCTGTGCCTGAAAATAGAGATTTTCGAATTAAGGGAAGCCTTACATAAACATGCATTTTTTTCAACCAATTTGAAGTTTTTGAAGTTTTTTAACCATACATTATTCTTCCATATATATTAAATGTACTTTAAATGTAAAGAAAAGTTACAAAAAGCATACCACATGAGTATAAAATGGTCTTAGGCCATGTAAGACTGAGAATTATTTAGAGTCGATTTAGGCCGTAGCCCATATTTACATATAAAAATGCACACAGAGGCTATAAGAAATTGAAATTTGTTACTTTTTGCTCATTTCTATGCTAAGATGTCATGATACAAGAAGTCTAATTGCAAAAGGACTCTTGAATTCAACTTTTTTTTGCAGACAGTATGGTTTGATGACCAGTTTTTCACTTTTCAATGGAAAACTTGCATGTAGTTTTAGTCTCATTTGGCATATATTTGAACCACTTACTATCCTAAAGAAGAAAATTATGGTAGCATATGAAATGAATAGGGTGTACTGATCATTGTAAAGTGTTTTTTTTACAGATTTAGTGAAATATTTGTGATGGACTACAGATTTTATGTACAAAGCTCTTCACATTTCACATACATCAAACAGGCCGTTTAACCAGGGACATAAATACAAATATTCTGCACATTTTTTCTGTGATAATCTACTTTTCTCTAGATTCCGAGTTCACAAATGGTTAATTAAATTTGATTTAAGCATAGAAACACAAATATCAGGAACATAAAAAGCTGTAAGATAGAAAGTCAGCATGGCTCTTAGGCATAAAATGGAAACTGCTTTAAAATGCTTATTTTAGCCGTATAATGCCAAAATGCTTATTTTAACAGAATTTCTGTCAAACAAAGATGTAAATCCTTTACTTTTATTGAGTTTGACAAATTGAAATCAGCAAACCATTCAGGAAAGTTGCCAAAGTACAGAATCTACATTTACGGAATTCATCTCTTAGGCCAGAGAACACAGTTATTTCGTAGTGCATTTATTTTAGACAGTAAATTCAAATTAAAAAAATCGCACCTGCTCTATCTCAAAAAGATTTTTACAGTGTAGTGTACTACTATTGATACAAATAATATCAAAATTATAGAAACTTCTACCAGCTCTAACTCAAAATATTGACAATTCTGTGTTAAGGGGGGCTAAAATTCAGTTTGACAGCTTCAGACATTCTAATTTTAGACCTTTTTTAACTGGACCAAATCACTACTTAACATAAAGATTCAGCACCCAAATTTTTTTAACATGTAATTTCATCCCCTTACTTAATATTTCATGCATAAAATATCAAGAAATAAATTGGGAAAGTGTATCAAAAAAAAATGCAAGTTATACACTGTTCACACTAGGGACTATATTTGTAGACAACGAAAACCAAAGGACGATAACTGTGTCCTTGGACCTATGACCAACAGACATTTTAAGGTTGTGACATACATGTATCTAATGTCCAGTGGCTCTTTAAAAAAATGATAAGTGAAATATTTTTAAGTCATTTTAACAGTTCTGTATTACCTTTGACATGTTTTTTTTTTTTTTTTTTTTTTTACTTAAAAAGAGTCACTGACTTAACTTTTAAAAAGTCTACAACAGCACTAAATTTAATAGAAGATATCTGACTATCTGAAAAGTTGTTGATGTTTTTTATTATACCAACAACAAAGAAGTTCTGAACAACATTTAACACCAAATTTATTACAGTTGTTTATGTAAATATTTATAACAATAGAAGTATAAATGTCACATTATGTGCATATTCAATAATTACTTCCCAGTTTAAAGAAATAAATTGTGTATTCAATGATTACTTCCCAGTTTAAAGAAATAAATTGTGTAATCAATAATTACTTCCCAGTTTAAAGAAATAAATTGTGTATTCAATAATTACTTCCCAGTTTAAAGAAATAAATTGTGTATTCAATAATTACTTCCCAGTTTAAAGAAATAAATTGTGTATTCAATAATTACTTCCCAGTTTAAAGAAAATAATTGTGTATTCAATAACTACTTCCAAAGGTGTAGGTGGAAATGTGTGTAATCAATTATAACTTAAAAAAATGTAAGTATAAATGTTTGTAAATATGTTCAATGATTACTCAACATTTTAGCCATGAATTTTAAGATTAGATTAAGGCCACAGTAGTTTACTGATTTTCAAATCTCCTAAATCTGTTATCATGATTATGAAGACAAATCAATGTAACAAACAAATTCTGAGGGGATTGGATGAAATCAATAAAAAATGAGATGGGGTGCTTTCCCAGGTAAGCGTCTCCTGTGATGCATGCGTCACCTGCCATGCGAATTCATACTCAGTCAGGAAACTGAATGAAATCAAATTGACACAATCATTGAAATTACAGATTAGACGACTATACTGGCATGACTGGTAGCTAAAGATCAAGGAGTGGATTCTGTTAACTTTTACAAAAATCTTCTATGAAACTACTGGGCCAAATTGAACCAAACTTGGCCTAAATCATCCTTAGGGTATCTAGTTAAAAAAATTTATACGAAGACCCTGCCCACGAACCAAGTTGGCTGCCATGGCTAAAAATAGAACATAGGTGTAAAATGTAGACTTTGGCTTATATCTCTGAAACCAAAGCATTTAGAGCAAATCTGACAAGATAAAATTGTTCATCAGGTCAAGATCTATCTGCCCTGAAATTTTCAGACAAATCAGACAACCCGTTGTTGGTTTGCTGCCCCTGAATTGGTAATTTAAATTTTTTTTGCAGTTTTTGGTTATTATCTTCAATATTATTATAGATAGAGATAAACTTTAAACAACAAGAATGTTCAGTAAAGTAAGATCTACAAATGAGTTAAAAGACCAAAATTGTCAATTGACCCCTTAAGGAATTATTGCACTTTAAAGTAATTTTTTTACAATTTTTCATTAATTTTTGTAATCTTTTACAAAAATATTTCTCCTCTGTAACTACTGGGCCAAATTAAACCAAACTTGGCCTAAATCGTCCTTAGGGTATCTAGTTTAAAAAAATGTATCGAATGAATCCGCCCACCATCCAAGATGGCCACCATAGCTAAAAATAGAACATTGGGGTAAAATGCAGTTTTTGGCTTATATCTCTGAAATTTACTAAAGCATTTAGAGTACATCTGACATGGGGTAAAAATGTTCATCAGGTCAAAATCTATCTGCCCTGAAATTTTCAGACAAGTCGACAACCCCTTGTTGGGTTGCTGCCCCTGAATTGGTAACAGTTTTTGGTTATTAATATCTTGAATATTATGATAGATAGATCTAAACTGTAAAAAGCAAAAATGTTTAGCAAAATAAGATCTACAAATAAGTCAACATAACCAAAATTGTCAATTGACCCCTTAAGAAGTTATTGCCCGTTAAAGTCAATTTTTCACAATTTTTCGTAAATTTTTGTAATCTTTTACAAAAATCTTCTCCTCTGAAACAACTTGGCCAAGTTAAGCCAAACTTGGCCTAAATCATCCTTAGGGTATCTAGTTAAAAAATTATATCCGATGAACGCATCAGCCTACCAAGATGGCATCATGGCTATAAAAAGAACATAGGGGTAAAATGCAGTTTTTGGCTTACATCTCTGAAACAAAAGCATTTACAGCAAATCTAACACAAGTAAAAAATGTTGATCAGGTCAAGATCTGTCTGGTTTGATATTTTCAGACGAATTAGACAACCTGTTGTTGGGTTGCTACCCCTGAATTGGTAATTTTAAGGAAATTTTGCAGTTTTTGGTTATTATCTTGAATATTATAATAGATAGAGATAAACTGTTATCAGCAAGAATGTTCAGTAAAGTAAGATCTACAAACAAGTCACATCACCAAAATTGTCAATTAACCTTTTAAGGGGTTATTGCCCTTTAAAGTCAGTTTTTTTTACAATTTTTTAGCTCACCTTTCCTAAAAGGAAATGTGAGGTTTTGCCATCATTTAGCATCCGTCGTCTTCCATCGTCCGTCCGGTGTAAACTATTTCAAAGATCTTCTCCTCTGAAACTACAGAACCAATTTCAACCAAACTTAAGATGAATGATCCTTAGGGTATCTAGTATAAAGTTTGTGTTTTATTTTCTGTTTTGTCAAAAAGCATGGCCGCCATGGATAAAAATAAAACAATAGGGTAAAATCCAGAATATGGCTTATATCTCAAAAACTAAAGCATTTAGAGCAAATCTGACAAGGATTAAAAGTGTTCATTAGGTCAAGAACTACCCGCCCTTAAATTTTCAGATGAATCAGACAACCGATTTTTGGGTTATTGCCCCTAAATTGATAATTTTAATGAAATGTTGCAGTTTTTGGTTATTATCTTGAATATTATCATAGATAAAGATAAACAGTAAACAGTAAAAATGTTCAGCAAAGTAAGATCTACAAATAAGTAAAAATGTCCAAAATTGTCAATTGACCGATGAAGGAGTTGTTGCCTTTTAAAGGCAGTTTTACACAATTTGTTCATCATGATTGTTAACTTTAAAAAATCTTCTCCTCTGAAACTACTGGCCACAAAGCAATGTCAGCTAATTTTACGCTGAATGATCCTTAGGGTATCTAGTATAAAGTTTGTGTTTTATATTATGTTTCATAAAAAAAACAAGGCTGTCATGAACATAGGAGTAAAATGTGGTTTTTGGCTTATCTCTCTAATACCAAGGTATTTGAGCGAAAACGGACAATGAGTTAAAGTGATCATTAGGACAAGATCTACCTGCCCTGAAATTTTCAGCCAAATTAATATTGGATAACTGATTTTTAGGTTATTGCCCCTGAATTGACAATTTAAAGGAAATTTTGCAGTTTTGGTTATTATCTTGAATATTATTATAGATAAAGATAAACTGCAAACAGTAAAAATGTTCAGTAAAGTAAGATCTACAAATAAGTCAAATGATCAAAATTGTCAATTGACCCCTTAAGGAGTTGCTATCCACACTGGTTTGTGTCCACACTTATTAATTATACATTAAAAAAAGAAAAACTTTGATGAAAAATTTAAATAAAAAACTACAGGTGAGGGATTCAGGCTCTTGAGAGCCTCTTGTTGAGAAAAGCTGCACAAAAATAGTTCTATTTCACTTTCTTACATGTACATGTCTTTTCATCAACTTGAAACATTTTTTATCTTCAAGCAATGGCCTCAATATGATTGCCAATGAGACAACTATCCACCAAAGTTCAAATAAAGTGGATGTAAGCAATTATAGGCAACCGTACGGCCTTCAACAATGAGAAAAACCCATACCATATAGTCGGCTACATCCTTTTTTGATATATCATTTTAGCCGACTTTTGATTATTCCATTATTATATCAAACAGGTGGGTTATGGAGGTATACAGAAAAGGTTACAGAAGGTCAGTCATGTGTGATGAAGTCTACTATTATCAACACAAGTAAAGAAATGATGTGTTACAGTGACTTTCCAATACCAGAAGAATATCCTATCTTTATGCACAATACGTATGTTCAGAAGTATTTCAACCTTTATGCTGATAAATTCAACCTACGGAATTATATACAATTTGAACAAGAGGTATGATCAGGAAATTATGCTTTGTTTTAAGAAATGTGATAAAAAAGGACACACATCCCTCGGCCAGAAATTATCAGTCAATCAATCAGTCAATTAAATTAAAGTTATCTTGATAATCGCTCGAAGATAAAATTTCGTCCCTTATGCTTTAACATTGAAAAGTTAAGTAATTTGACATCCTTTATGGAATTTTTCTGTAGTACTTCTTGACTTTGATAAATTTGTGTTTGTCCAGTGGCAAATATTTCATGCTTATTTAGGTCTACGGTAACTATACTTGAGAAAAAGGAAACTAATATTTTTAGAAAAATAATGCAAAAGACTATTTATCCTTAATTACAAGGCTACAGTAGTATTATATACAAACTCCCTTAGAAACATGGAAAATATAATTGATTTTTTTTAGATATTAAGTATAAACAAACAGCCCGATTTTAAGCGAACTGGTCAGTGGAATATCAAAGTGAAAGACAAAAAAAGTGGTGATGTGGAAGAGAGTGTGTTTGATGCTGTTCTTGTTTGCACAGGCCATCATGCTGAAAAGCATGTTCCTGATTTTCCAGGTTTATCAAACTTCAAGGGAGAAGTCTTTCATAGCCATGACTACAGAAATCCAGCTGGATATGAAGGGAAGAGAGTAGTTATCATTGGAATAGGAAATTCTGGAGGTGATATGGCTACGGAACTTAGCAGAGTAGCTTCACAGGTGACAGTTTATAGTTTCCAATCACCATCAATGTGTAATTGTTTTCATCTAGTCATCTACTGGATGATTTTTGAAATGGGAAAATGCTATAAGTAATATAAAAATGTTCAGAATTTCACAAACTACCCACAAATCTCTTCCACGCAATATATCTTGTTGAAATTTAAAAAAAAAAGAAACTATTAAAATTGTTCAAACAATTGGAGGTCTTTCCACATTAATTTTCTAAATAATTGATAAGAAGCTACTTAAGGTTTACTCAAAGTTACCTTTCGCGTCCAATCATAGGTTTCTTCACACAGATTAAATAAATATATGGTTTCTATATACTGGAAATAAGGGAGATTATTGCCAACTTCCGGTTTAGAAAATGTCACTTCTGGTTCCATATGATAGCTTTATTCACACTGATTCCAAAAATATATAGTTTGTATATACTTATGCCTGTAATAAGGGAGATAATTTGCTACTTCCAGTTACAGAATGTCACTTTAAATGATAGGTTTATGTATGCCCATTTAAAAACTATATTGTTTCTAGGTACTTTTTCATGAAAAAAGTGCAAAAATTACTACTTCCGGTTCACTCAAGGTCACTTCATGTTGACATTTTTCAAGGTCATATGTCATCTTGTGCAAAAGACCCTATGGCTTTGGGTGCTATAAACAGTTTCGTATAAAAAACTAGGAGTTATTCCCAGACTAAAAACAGCTATGGAGGGTTATCCCTTTTTATTTAGATAATTAGTGAAAAAGTATCGTGCTTTTTCTATTTGATTGTAAAAATTAGTTAATTAGCTTTCAATTAAAACAGGTTGAATGATTAAAATAATTTTAAAAATTAGATTAAATAATACATGTTTTAAGGGGAGACAACACTGTAAACTTCCTGTTTTTTTTTTTGGTTGTGAAAATTGAAAACTTGTTTGTAGCTACTGTAGCTCTTTCCAAAGCAGGCGAAGTACCCTGAAGCGAGAATTGTTTAAAAGACCAGGTAAAAATCTATGAAATTCATACAGTTTTGATTACTAGTATCTGAAATGTGCCTGTATCATGCCTACATGGGTATGCACATGACCTGATTTAGGGCTTTTCATGTTGAAATTGGGCATTTTTATGCCCCCGCCGTAGCGGTGGGGGCATTAAGTTTTACCCTTGTCTGTCTGTACGTACGTACGTATGTCCCAAAATTGGTTTCCGTTCTCTAACTTGAGTTTGCCTCAACCAAATGTTATGAAACTGATACACAATGCTTATTACCACAAAACACAGATCAAGTTTGAATTTTGGTGGAGTCACTTTAACCATTCTAGAGTTATGCCCCTTTATAAATGGAAAAATTGCAAAATTTTTAGTTTCCGTTCTCTAACCTAAGTTTGCCTCAACCAAATGTTATGAAACTTATACACAATGCTTATTATCACAAAACACAGATTATGATTGAATTTTGGTGGGGTCACTTTAACCGTTCTAGAGTTAAGCCCCTTTATAAATGGAAAAATGGCAAAATTTTTATTTTCTTCTAAATATCAAGTCATTTTTAAAATTGGAGTTATCTTCCTTTGTCCATGATCATAGTTGAATCAACTACAATCAATGCTTTATACAATGCAATTTTTAATTTTGACTTCCACTGATAAAACACAGATCAAGTTGAATTTGGGTAGTGTCACTTTAACCATTATTGAGTTATGCCCCTTTATAAATCGAAAGATTGCAAAATTTTCAGTTTCCATTCTGTAACTTAAGTTAGCCCCAACCAAACATTATGAAACCTATACACAATATTCATTACCACAAAACTAAGATCAAGTACAAATGTTTTGTTTGCGTTTTCTTGTCTCAACCAAATGTTATAAAACTTATACACAACTGTTCTAGAGTTATGCGTGTTTACAAATAGAAAAATTGCTGAATTTTTAGTTTCTGTTCTCTACTTAAGTTAGCCTCAACCAAATGTTATGAGACTTACACACAATGCTTATTACCACAAAACTCAGATCAAGTTCAAATTTGGGTAGCCTTACTTTTATGATACCTCTGCTGGTGGACTATCAGTCCCCGAGGGTATCATCAGCTCAGTAGTCAGTACTTCGGTACTGACATGATTTAACAAACTTTTCTTAAATTGTCCGTTTTTTTGAAATTATTAAGAAACTAAGGTTTCAACTCCCTCAGGCAAAGTTGACTTTAGATGAATTTGGCTATCAATTTTAGGTATTTTGTCATATAGCTCAACGGTTTTGGTACTTATACATCCTCGGATTTCAAATGTTTGGCTTTGAGCGTTCCTGATGAAGGTAAATCCAGAAAAGCACTTCGGACACATTGAAATTATTAAACGTGTTGTTTTCAATTTTTTACGGTTCTTCAGTTATGTCCCTTTATAACTATATGATATGCAAGCTGGGGCATCATCTGTGTCCACATGTGGACACTATCCACATTTTTTTTTTTTTATTTTCTCTGGATAGAACTTTTTTATTATGTTAAAATTACACTTTATTTTTATTTCATTTTAAACTAGAGAAAATTGATTCCAGTGATATCTAGTTTTATACAAGTATCTTTATTAACTATAAAGAATATTTATTGCAAAATTACATCCATAAGGGTCAAGCAATACAAACATACAATGATACAATTAAATACAATACAATGCAATACAATACAATAGAACATATTTTAAGGAAAAGTTCAATTTACAAATTTATGTCAAAAACACAATCATATACTTGTCTGACATGGGTCTGACCCCCTCAGTTTTAAAGACTGCTTAATGAAGACTCCAATATGACAAACAAGTTTAGGGGTGGGGTTTAGAATGTGTTTTAGTTTATTAAATGCATCAAGTTGTTGAAATAATGGTACATAGTCTTTTAGATAAGCAAACAAATTTGAACGCAATGCTATGTTAATGTCACAATACAAAAAAAAATGAAATTTGTCATCTAGGACTCCACATTTTTTACATAATCTTTGTGCTCTTGGAATATTTCTGTAACTACCCAATTCAATGCCTAGGGAATGATCACTAAGTCTAAATTTTGAGAGTAACTACCTATGTTTAAAATTATTGCAGTTTAAATATTCCTCAGACTGACAATTAATTTTTTAATTTCCCATAAAGACAAAGTTTGGATGAGGAATCCAATTTTGAAAGTTTATTTAAAGTAGTTTTTTCATATTCCTCTGAAGCAAACTTTTTGATATTACATTTTAACACTTTTTTTGATTGTTTAAAAGGTACATTTATATTAGAGTGATTTTCTGGGTTTATTTTTATATTTTTAAAAATTTTATCTGCAAATGAGTACCAAGAAGAAATTCCTGCAGAATGTAAATTTATATTTGTTTGTAGCGATTCTTTAACAAGAAGATTAATATCATTAACAATAACACCACTAAGGGTCACTTATGCATGGTCCCTCAAAATATGACGTCATAGAAAAAACTGTTGATTGCACCCTTTATCATGTATCATTTTGTAGTAATAATCAATTAACCTAAAATTTAACCATTTCAGGGTCAATAACTCATATAAGATGTCATCAAATAGCTTTGGACCAAATATACCATTTCTACCTCTCAACAACCCAAACATTTTGCATCAGTTTTTTTTGTATGTAGCTTTCATAGTTTAAGATGAGATGCACACACACACTAACAAAGTACAAAATTTAGAATATGACCTTGACCTTTGACCTTGACCTGATTTTCCAAGTTATGACTCAAGGATCTCAAATCAAAAGATCTAAGATCTTTACAGCTTACGGTTTATGAGTAACACTGACATACCGATAAATTAAATAGGGACGGGTAGATAACTCCTGTAAAATGTCACCTGATCGCTTTGCTCCAAATTGACCAAAGCTTCATGAAGATATAACGAACAATTAAGAAAAAGAATTTTGTCGATAGAAAATTGTTCGGTTAAGCAGGGTCAAAATTAAAAGCGCATAAACTGTTTGATAACATATACCAAATATCTAAGCAAGATGTTGTGAAACAAAAATTATAAGCAAGAAAAAAAAAATCTAGAAAAATAGATCTTTAATGAAATGTGCTAATTTTGAGAGTATTTAGTTCATGTGCAAGACTTTTAATATTTATCTATACAAAATTTGACAATTTTGCACAACCTGAAGCAAGAAAAAAAAAGCCCCAGTGACCCACACTTTTTATTATATAAAAGCATGATATACATGTGAGCTACATTTTAACAAGTTATTAAAAAATTCTATGGATTTTAATTTAGACCCCCATCTACCTTAAATGATATTGGATGTGGTTTTTTTTTAAAGATTATCATGGAAATTTTGAAGCCCATTGTAGACTTTATCCTTTACATATTTTACAGGTGTTTATAAGTACTAGACGAGGAAGTTGGGTATTAAACAGAATAGGAGACAATGGTATGCCATTAGACATGGCCAATTCTGATAGGTTTAAACTGGCAATAAAGAATTATTTACCAGCCTCAGTCTTAAATACTATAGTGGAAGGTCGTCTAAATGCAAGATTTGATCATTCTGTATATAGTCTTAAACCTAAACACCATGTGTTCGCCCAGCACCCAATGGTAAATGATGAAATGCCAAACAGATTGGCATCAGGAACTCTGACAGTAAAACCAGATATCAAAACATTTACTGAAAATGGAGTTATATTTGATGATGGCACCAAAGAGGAGAATATTGATGTTGTTATCTTGGCAACCGGATATAAATTTGGGTTTCCTTTCTTAGACAAATCTGTAGTAGATGTCAAAGAGAATCGTGTTGAACTGTACAAATATGTTTTCCCACCTAAACAGGAGAAAAAAAATACTCTGAGTATAATTGGATGTATACAACCTATTGGGGCGATTATGCCTATATCTGAATTACAGTGTAGGCTATCTTTGCGTGTTTTTCAGGTGAATTGATATGGATTTATACAATTTTTATACGACCGCAAAAAAATTTTGTGGTCGTATATTGGTATGACGTTGGCGTCGTCGTCGTCGTCTGGCGTCGTCGTCCGGCGTCGTCGTCCGGCGTCGTCGTCCGAAGACACATTGGTTTTCGCACTCTAACTTTAGTTTAAGAAAATGGATCTTCTTGAAATTTGACCATAAGGTTATATACCACAAAAGGAAGGTTGGGATTGATTTTGGGGTTATGGTACCAACAGTTAAGGAATTAGGGGCCAAAAAGGGGCCAAAAATAAGCATTTTCTAGTTTCCAGACAATAACTGTGGAACGGTGTATGGATCTCTCTGAAATTATACTACAAGTTTCCATACCACAAAGGGATGGTTAGGATTTGCTTTGGGGGGTTATGGCTCAACCCGTTTAGGAATTAGGGGCAAAAAAGGGGGAAAAACAAGGTTGTCCTGGTTAATGGACAAATACTTTAGTACAAAACATAATGTAAAGCAGTGTAAGGGAGATAAATCAAATACATCATTGAAATTATCTCCCTTACACTGCTTTTAAATTATGTATAAAGTAATGGTTAATGAACAATAAAGATAATTTAATACAGTCTAAGGGAGGTAATCCAAATACAACGTTTTGGTTACTTCCCTTACACTGCTTTTAAATTATGTTTAAAGAAATGCATATTTATAAAGGAAGACCAGTAAAAATATCTGCAAATGTTGCATCTTTTTTTTTTTACAAAAAAATCCATATGAAAGATTTGACACTATATTTTTAATTCTATTATAAAATAGATTAAGTTAGCACTATGGTAAATTTAAATAGGTAATTATGGTTGCCAACTCCATTGGAAATTAGAATTGAGATTATGACCATATCTTGAGGGAAAGAATTTTTTGGGGGAAAAAAGGGGGGGGGATAAAAAGAAATTGTGGGAGGTCAATTTTTTGTCATTTCAGATTTCAGAAATTAAAAAGAATTATTCTTCAAATATTATTTTTTTTTCAAATTTCAAATATTGAAAAATTTCAAGAAGTAATCTTTAATTGAACAGTATGGCGCATTAGATTTGTAAACTCTTTGATCACATTTATTTATTTGTTATGCCGAATCTAACAGTGTATTTAGATTTTTAATTTTGGGTCCAGTTTTCAAATTGGTCTACATTAAGGTCCAAAGGGTCCAAAATTAAACTTTGTTTGATTTTAGCAAAAATTGAATATATGAGGTTCTTTGATATGCTGAATCTAAACATGTATTTAGATTTTTGATTTTTGGCCCAGTTTTCAAGTTGGTCCAAATTGGGGTCCAAAATTAAACTTTGTTTGATTTCAACAAAAATTGAATATATGGGGTTCTTTGATATGCTGAATCTAACCATGTATTTAGATTTTTTATTTGTGAACCCCGTTATCAAATTGGTTCATATTAAGGTCAAAAGGGTCCAAAATTAAACTTTGTTAGATTTCATCTAAAATTGAATTATTGGAGTTCTTTGATATTCCAAATTTAACCGTGTATTTAGATTTTTAATTTTGGGTCCTGTTTTTTAAATTGGTCTACATTAAGGTTCAAAGGGTCCAAAATTAAACTAAGTTTGATTTTAACAAAAATTGAATTCTTGGGGTTCTTTGATATGCTGAATCTAAACATGTGTTTAGATTTTTGATTATGGGCCCAGTTTTCAAGTTGGTCCAAGATAGGGTCCAGTATTTAAACTTTGTTTGATTTCAACAAAAATTGAATATATGGGGTTCTTTGATATGCTGAATCTAAACATGTATTTAGATTTTTGATTATGGGGTCAGTTTTCAAGTTGGTCCAAATTGGGGTCCAAAATTAAACTTTGTTTGATTTCAACAAAAATTGAATATATGAGGTTCTTTGATATGCTGAATCTAACCATGTATTTAGATTTTTTATTTGTGGGCCCCGCTATCAAATTGGTTCATATTGAGGTCAAAAGGGTCCAAAATTAAACTTTGTTTGATTTCATCAAAAATTGAATTATTGGGGTTCTTTGATATGCCAAATCTAACCCTGTTTTTAGATTTTTAATTTGGGTCCCGTTTTTTAAATTGGTCTTCATTGAGGTCCAAAGGGTCCAAAATTAAACTTAGTTTGATTTTAACAAAAATTGAATTCTTGGGGTTCTTTGATATGCTGAATCTAAACATGTGTTTAGATTTTTGATTATGGGCCCAGTTTTCAAGTTGGTCCAAGTTGGGGTCCAAAATTAAACTTTGTTTGATTTTAACAAAAATTGAATATATGGGGTTCTTTGATATGCTGAATCTAACCATGTATTTTGATTTTGGACATTGGACCATAACAGGTAAATTAAAAAAATTCAAGTTCTTAGACCACATTCTTTCTGTGTCAGAAACCTATGCTGTGTCAAATATTTAATAACAATCCAAATTCAGAGCTGTATCAAGCTTGAATGTTGTGTCCATACTTGCCCCAACCGTTCAGGGTTCGACCTCTGCGGTCGTATCAAGCTGCGCCCCAGCGAAGCATTTTATTTATATATATATAGCAACAGATTTTAAATTATTTTATACAGACACTGTAAAAGCAGAACTATTTGCATTCCTTGTAAATGATGGCTTTCAGAAATACTGGTATTATTGTTACTTTTCATAGAACAGGTTTGAAATGGCTGTTCATCATCATTGAGATCAAAAGATATTTTGACAACTTCATGATCTCCCTAAAATTCTTTGCGACACTATTCAAATGTTTGTCTTCTCAACTTTTAGCACCTGGTATTCCAGGATGATTTAATTGAAATCTCTTCTCATAGGTTACATACAACAGTGCTATATCAAGAGATTATTATTACTATTGTTGTGATCCATAATAGAGGATTATGTAATATTTTGGATGCTTACAGAGAAAATCTAAAAGTCATTTGATAATGGTGTACTCATTGGTGGCCTTCAGCTGTTTTCTGCTCTTTGGTTGGGTTGTTGTCTCTTTGACACATTCCCCATTTCCATTCTCAATTTTACTCACATGTTCAGTTATGATAAGTATTTCCTAAAAGTGTTAAGGTTTCAGGTCTTCCTTTTGTTTAAAATAAATATAAGGCTTACACACAATAAAAAAGAAAGTTTGAAAAAAAGATTCAAGTGTCCTGAACTTTTCTCATTGATGTAAAGTTGGAAAAAAATAAAGAGATTTTTTTTCAGAGCTTACCTATAATAGGTACTGGACAAAGTTAATTTTATAAGATTTATTTATACAGGGTCCATGGTGTCAAAGATCAAGGTTACTTTTACTCAAAATAGAATAGATTTTTTAAAGTTGGTTTTTTGACAGTTACTTCAGGTTCCTTTTATAATTTATAAGGAAACTTGTATAGATTGAAGATATAGAAAAGGGATGAATTATATTGATTTTCAGGTCAAAGGTAAAAGGCAGCCCTTTAAGTAAATTTTTTTTTCTCAATAAATATGCAGCACAATTTCTAAGCCTGTTTATTTATTTTTTTCCCCAGCCACTGTTTAAATTTTTATCTTGTCAATATTCTAATATGCTGTCTAATGATTATATATACTAGTACCTCTTTTAAATACATTGATATAAAAAATGAAGCCACCACAAGAACAGCCAAATCTAAAGAATGGACTAACATGTGCATTTGAAATTTGACAATCAAGGATAACTATAGCCAAACTATTGACACATGTGATGCCCTTTTCTATAGTGATATAAATCAAGGATAACATTTGGTATACATAAATGAGACATGTGTTAAATCTCTTAATCACCCTAAATTACAAAAGAAATATGATATGAATTCCATGCACACAATTCTCCATTTCAATATTTCTGCATTAAAAGCATTTTCTCCTAAAGAAATAAATATCGATTTTTATGCATTACCTATTTGATAGTAGTTAATTTCCTAATGTAGTGAAAAGTAAAATCACAAAAATACTGAACTCCGAGGAAAATTCAAAAAGGAAAATCCCTAATCACATGGCAAAATCAAAAGCTCAAACACATCAAACGAATGGATAACAGCTGTCATATTTCTGACTTGGTACAGGCATTTTCTTATGTAGTGAGTGCTTATGTCAACAAAACAAAACGAATGTGAGTAATTTTGAAATTGTAGACTTAGTTTATTTTTATTTGTTTTTTTTTCAAACAGAAAAAAATCAAACTTCCCTGCAGCGATGAAATGATATTGGACATAAGATCAAAAGAATTAGCCATGAAGGAGAGATATGTACAGACTCAAAGACATACCATTCAGGTGGATTATATTGACTACATGGATGAACTTGCTACACTGAACGGATGTCTACCTGATCTTCGTAAGTTTTTTTTATAAAATATTGTTAAATATTTAATTATAAAAATCAGAAGATGTGGTATAATTACAAACGAGAAAACTATCCACATGAGACCAAATGACATATAAGTTAATAACTAAAGGGTCACCATTGGCCTTCCATAATTATCAAATCCCATACTGCATAGTAAGCTATAAAAGGCCCCAAAATGACAAATGTAAAACAATCGAAACAAGAAAACTAACCACCTGATATTTGTACAAAATAATAAAAGATAAAACAAATGAAAATACAGCAACAAATGACAACCACTGAATTACAGGCTCCTGAATAGGGACCGACACATACAGAATTGTCTTCGTTTGCAGAAAACATCATTACACATCAAGAATTTATTACTGGAAAGTGATTATCAATCATTATTTACTGAAGAAAGAAGTGATGGATCAGGTTTATATTCTCTTTTGAAGTTTCAAAAGGATATGTTCTCTTCAAAACTAGCATTTGATTATTAGGTCAGAAACAATAATATGTGTTTCCTCCTAAATAACCAGGGTTGGCATAAACTCGGATTTTAAGTGTATTGCCCAGCCCAGTGGAAAATACTGGGAAAGCCCCGGTTTTACTGGGTGATATAAAAAACTTGCCTGAATATTTTCCTGTTTCTATTCAAGTTAGATATTTTTTAATGGGTTTGTGTTGATCAGTCATTTGTTTTCGATGTTGTGTTATATAGAATCATTTGACTTTTGGTTGATTTTGGATTATCTTCGACATGTGTTTGAATATCCCTTGGTACCTTCAGCATCTATAAAAGAACACATGTGTTGTGTGTTAATGAATCTAACTAGTGGAGACAATATGAATTATCTGTTTGATTCATAATGCTTAATGTTGACCACCTCTCCTTAGCAGTAGGCAGTGGATGTTTTCATGTACATGTACAGTTTTTTTTAGTTGCTTCCATCTCTGTTTGTTTCAACATATGATAATATAGTAATTTGGATAATGTACTCTTTTATTTGGACTATTTTTCACTTGTTTTACAGAATCAGTATTTTGGTCAGATCCTAAATTGGCCTTAACCTGCTTCTTTGGGCCTTGTACACCATACCAGTACAGATTGCAGGGTCCTGGAAAATGGGATGGAGCTAGGCAGGCAATAATGACACAATGGGACAGGACATTTGCATCCCTGAAAACAAGACCATTAGGATTTACAGAAAAACCATCACAGAAGAAATTCTTCATTTTTTACTTTGTTTTTGTAGTGCTATTTTGTTATTTAGTTCATGTTATATTTCTGTAGGTAATTATGTTGTGACATTCATTGAACACATCCAAAAATCTAGGAATGACATTTATAACTTTCAACACTTTTTAACAGATGACCAAAAGATCATTTCTTAAGATTTATTAAACAAATGTTTTACAACAAAAGAGTATAAAACACCTGTATGCTGTTTTTCTTCTCTACAAGTGGGATATTGAGAAATTTCAAATATTTGAACATCTCTCTTTATCAAAAATGAAAAGAAATGTGACAATATAGATTACAAAAAACATACTGTTGATAACACAGAATTTGATTGTTGTTTATTTTGTTTTCTAATTAAAGAAATATGTGTGTACCTTTTAATGTTTGATAGAATTATTTTTTTTCATACAAAACATTGTTTAATACTCAAATATCAAGATAGGATATGCTATACATAAGATAACATTTGCTTTTTAATTTTGTACTATTTATTATTTTTTACTGTTAATGTTAATTTTATATGTGCTGAATTTTAATTGTTATAGAAAAGTTTTTAATGTATGTAATAAAAACGCTGTATGAATTTTAAGTCATGTCCTCTATATTTTAATTTACTGCCTACACTTTTGTAAAAGTCCACCTGTGTATTTCTAAAAATCACAAATTAATGTTGTGACGTGATTATAGGCATAATTACAAAGATAAAGAACTGGACAAAGATACAACCACCTAAACATGGGCCACCCTATGATTTGTAATTTTCTTTGGAAAATGCCTGTTTAAGTTGGGAATATAGCAGTTGTTTTCCACGTGTTCCGTTGATTGATAGCGTTTGATTTTGTAAGTTTTTATGGACTTCCCCTTTTTGAATTTGCTTTGGAGTTCGTTATTTTTGTTATACTTTTTTTTACTGAAGAGGTCTTTATTGAAAAGAGATTTAGAAGGGTCATAGTCATTATCATATTAGGAAAGTGTGACAACTAGCTTAGTGTTCAGCTATATAGTACAAAGCTGGATAAAGCTTCACCAATATTGCTTAGATTTTGTACTATACTATAAAAGAGTTTTTTGCTCTAATAATGAGGAATATTTGTACTATAATCCTATAATATATATTATCTGTGTGACAAACAAAAAGGTATTGTCTGTCTACCATAATTAAATGCCAAATATTCCTCAAGCGCTACATGCTACTCTTTTTATTGTTTGTATTAATGGGACCATGTATGCATTTGGGCACAAATGGTTGCAGGTAGTCAAATTATTACACTTATTGCATGTACTTTCTTTTGAAAGGGTTTTCAATCAACAATATAATGATGTAAAATGACATGGAGTTGATGAGGCATATGTTCAGCCCTCTTAGTTACCTAACTTTTTTTACTTATATAAAAATGCAGTTTTGTGGAATGTTTAATGCTTGTCTCTAGTCATTGTACTATTTAGTTATTTGACTATTTAACAATTGTACTTATACATTTTGTAATTTATTTTTCTATTACAAGGATTTTATGAATAAAGTATGTTTAAGAATACATTGTTTTGACTTCATGACAGAATTATATAATACAATACTAACGTCCAGTGGCAAATATTTCATGCATGTTCAGGACAAGTCAATAAGACAAATATCCTTTAAAGGGAAGGATGTTACTGACTGCAGGTCACCGTAAAACCTATTCTATATGATAAGCTTTTAAGGTCCCGTTATCATATTTGACAAAAATCAATTAAGAAAATTAAACAAAAACAAATTTGACCGACTACAACCGACAAGAACTCCTGGTTTTGGATAATCATATGAAGTATTTGGATAGGTTATTAATTCTGCTGTTTGCAGGGTGTCTTTGTGATTTATTTAGCTATTCTTTTCTTTCTATGCTTTGTCAGGATCTGCTATTATTATAGTTTCCCCCGTTTTGAGTTTGCTTTAAATAGCTGTTTCAATAGTCACCAATCTCTTTGGTGTATTTTGTTGCCCTAATTTTATTAAAAAAATATAACGGGATATTAATGTTAAAGTATAACTAACACTGGCATAATGAGTAGACTAAGATGTTCTCTCATCATGGGTCTTTTATTGATGAACATAAGGAGAGTTATCAGATATGTATGACGGTCTACTGTAACATATCTCAAAGTTTCTAGATGTTGATGATTAAAAATTCAACGATATGTTAGAATACCTACAATGTAAGTCCTTCCCCTTTTGAAATAGTATTAAAACTATTGAATTCTAATTCTTTATATAAAAATTTTTAACTTTGAAATTAAAGACAGATTGAAAGAATCAAACTAAGTTCTTATAAAAAAGAGAATGGTTAATGTAGATACATATTGATTCTTACATTGGTACCAGTGGACTGGGAACAGTATATTTGTATACAATATATATGTTCCTGCAGTGGATTATCGGAGTTATCCAATTGAGATAGTTAAAATTAATAATTGAACTATCGAGATTGGATAAATCCGATAATTCACGAGTGACTATGTAAGAATCTGTTTCTCTAATGATTATCAAATAAATTTTCATTTTTGATAAACGAAAACCCCCTTCGAGTGCCTTCCACATTCCACAAAGTTGCCAATTTCATTCATTTTGATTCATCCAGTGAGCTAATAAAGGTTATGACCCTTAAACTCATCCAATAATCTTCTGAGATCATCAGCAACCACACGTTATTTTTTTGGCAGTGGCTATTTTGCTGGCGCCGGCAAAATAGAAAATATGCTATTTTGGCGACTCTGATTAAAATATCTTAATTAAAGCCGGCAAAATAGCATATTACTATTGCAATGGCTATTTTGCCGGTTCTTAGCACTACGAAAATGTGCATTGTCAACATAAAAGAATCAAATTATTACTCATATAGTTAAATAAGATAACAGTGACAATATTTGAGATACATATACTAGTAATTGTTTTTAAAAAAACATTTATCAAAGTGAAAATTAGAATTTGTAAAAAGAAATAAAAATAAAAATATTGAGCACCATTTGTAGCAATGAAATCATATAAAAATATGCAGTTGAAATTACTTCTAAAATCAGTCACAATCTAATGCTACATGCATGACATATATGAATAAGAATAAAATCTCAGATTTTTTAACTGTATGTTGTAAAATAATAAAAGTTAAAAATCTCATTGCATTTAAATTTGATAAAACATAATAAAAACCGTAAGATAATAAATCACATAGCTTCAAAATCAAAAATGTTTCAATTAAATTTACTTTTGAAAAAAATAGTCAGTTCTTTGAATTGCATATCTGTAAACAAAATCGTTTCTTTTACTGGCAATATTGGCTTCCGCTTAAGTAGAGTCGGCAAAATAGCATATTTTCTAATTTGCCGGCGCCGGCCAAATATAGCCACTTCCTATTTTTATACAATTGGTCCGGAAAGGGTTAAATTGCCATAGAATAAGAATAAATTTAAAACATATCTTGCTATAAAAAAAAATCAAACGACACTTTGAAAACAACACTCGGATTCAACAAAAGCGTTTTCTAAAACGTCCTCATCAAAACATAATTGTAATTTTCAACCGATAGTCAGCATTCCAATGAGAATCAACTTTGATTCTTTTCATGCCGACTGGATTCCTTATTAATATTATGCAGAATTTTTAAGAGGAATGACAGGCCTAGGAAGCTAACATTAATATCCTTCTATTTCACACACCGCTACTAAGATTGTGTCAGGCTTCTTGCATCATTTGCAAAAACTATCTTATTTATAAACTTGAAACAAATATCATCACAATTACAGTTAGCCTATCTTATATCTTGATTTACATATAACAATTGAAAATGACGGTCGGTTAAGAACTGAACTTTACGAAAATCGAGATTTATTTTAATTTTTCCTAGTGTTAAATTTCCATTCCTGAGAAGCAACATTCCAATAGCGCTACCATATTGAGTGCATATTTTGCCGTTAAACGATTTGCCAAGGCTTGCTTGTTCCTATCATGTTTTTTTTAGGGTTTCTGCTGACAATAATATTAACGGTACCAATTTTACTTTACTAAATGCGCATTTCACAAGGACGTTATTTAAATGTGAGGTAGCAGTAGTTCAGCGATGTTCAAATCTCGGAAATCAATTTCGAATAAACAAATCAAAATACAAACTGAGGAAATCACATTAATTCAAAAGTCAACCAAGGAATTACTAATGGTACAGTTGTAGTAATCCTTAAAGGGTAATGTACACCGTTATGATTATTTCGACAATTAAAGCATAACTGTGACAAAGATACATAATATAAAAATAAGGAGATGAAGTATGATTGCCAATGAGACAACTTTCCACCAAAGTTCAAATAAAGTGGATGTTAGCAATTATAGGCAACCGTACGGCATTCAACAATGAGAAAAACCCATACCATATATTCGGCTATAAAAGGACCTGACATGAAAAATATGAAACAATTCAATTGAGAAAACTAACGGCCTAATTTATAACAAAACAATTAACGAAAAACAAATATGACAGACATGAACCAACGACAACCACTTAACTACAGGCTCCTGACTTTGTACAGGCACACAAAGAATGTGGCGGGGTTAAACATATTTGTGAGCGTTCAACCCTCCCCTAACCTAGGACAGTGGTGTAACAGCACAACATAAGAACAAACTATAATGTTCCAATTGTAGTTGCCAAAATCCCATCCTCTTTTCCTAGGTTATGTCATCAACCAATGAGATTATCGCTCAATTATTATTTGTCAGATGCAGGACCTGCTTACCCTACTGGGAGCACACGAGATCCCCCTACGGTTTTTCGTGGGATTCGTGTTGCTTAATCTATATTTTGCTATGTAGTGGTTTGTTCATTGTTTTTTTTTTTTGGTCTTCTCGTCATTTTTCTTTATAGCCTTAGTTTTGTCCTCGACTTGCGATTTTTTTATTGTCCCTTTTTTAACACAACTAATGAAAACAATCTTCAATTGAGAAATATTTAGGGTAAATTGACTTCAAATTAAACTGATAATTTCAATTTTGGGAAACATGTGTTAATGTTTAAATTTTTTCAATGACAGAAAGACCAAATTAATCCATTATCATAGAAGGACTCAAATGATAGGGTAGCAATACGTATGGTTTGTAAATTAAAAGGTCCTTAAAATGGTAATGACAATAGATTGATAGATTTTGAAATACATTTGAATGCCAGTAAGAAAACTAGGTTAAAATCAAAACTTTGTTGGGTTCGTGTTACTTAGTCTTTTGTTATACGAGTAGTGTTTATGTACTTGCTTGTTTGTTTTTGTTTTTTTTTTGTTCGTCTTTCTTTTTCGCCGTAGCGACGTCAATTGTTATTCGTTTTACGGATTCTATTTGATTGCCCCTTTGTATATATGTTCTCCTTTTTTACCTAATGTTCAATGTATACAAAATGTTTTGAAGACGGTTGTGGGTGAATTTTGTTGGAGTATACGCTTACAAAAACTGATGAGTACCCACCAACAAGGATGATCCCGAAAAAAGATTTAAGTGTGGAAAATCGGCAAAATGAGCATACATAGTACGATGCACTCTGCCGAGTACAAACAATCTAGAAAGTGTCCAGACTCCGAAATAAAAAAAAATAAACTGAAGAAGAAGACACTCAAAAACAAAGTAGAAGCTATTACGATAAGCGTTTTGGGAGCATCAACACAAAAAAGAACTAACTTGAACAGAACAATATGACATTCAAAAATCATCTTTGCTTGAGAGAATTGCCGCTTCAATTTTAGTACAATTACATACTTTTTTTAATCAAAATGTATTATCAAAATCGTACTGGAACGGATGCACTTAACCTTGGACGGTGTGCACATTCGGCTGCAAACGATCCACCAGCGATTGCACCATTACATTGGTGGCAGTAATATGAAAAAAGAAAATTACAGAATAATAATAGTATTCCGTATATATTTACAATATCGATTTCAGTGCGAACTTCATTTGTTTAAGCTTTTATCAGATAAGCAGACAAACATTTTTAAAAGGCCAACTATACGTTTGTAAGTATTCACACTTATAGGATAGAAAAATTGAAAACAAGCTGTGGGAAGAGAATTAGGCTCTGAACTTGGAAACGTATGGTGCCGATTCAGTTGCAACATCTGTATCAGGACAATACTTTTCAAGACAAAAAGTATACAACATAGAACATCCAAACCACAACTTTGAGTTCAATCTCCTCCTTCAGAATAAGGATTTATGTTGAAAAACTTGAATTATATGAAACAAAATGTGTTTCATACGTGGATTTTATTATAGATTATATAGTGAAAGGTGCTTTTGTTGTCGGTATTGTAAAGGTTGTTTCAGATCAACCGTCAAAAATCGTTCTGTCAGTGCAAACTAAGGTGGCGAATTCTTTAAAACCTCGTTATATATAATAACGTATTTAGCGTTCCCAATTTTTTTTAATTTTCAAACGTTTCTGGTACAGATTAATGCAGAATAGTAGTAAAAAAAAGTAATTAGTATGATTCATTGCTTGTTTTTATAAAGGTTCTGTATATTTTT